TGCACTTTCCAACTGGATTTTTACTGTGTGAACTGGCAAAATCCAGTTGGAAAGTGCACTGAAAGTAGATTGAAAGTGGATTATTTGGTGTGTGTGACTACAGCCTAAGTGTGGCTGCAGTCCCACAAGTGGTTTGCAGTGGTATAGCTGTGTAACCTGTACAGATTTAAAGAGCATAATCACACAACAACATCTGCCTTCTGTGGCCCAGTCATTGCCACCCCGCAATTTAGGCACCGGGAAAATCTGATTTTCATGAATGCCTGCACTTCCACTCCACTTTTGTGCTTGTCTGAACTCCTCTGCTCTGACTGGATGTATGACTGGGAAGTATGAATGGTCACTTCCATCTCAGTTGCAGGTTTTTTTCCACTCAGTAGGGATGTGCACATAAGCACATATGCACATGCTGCTGCAGAGCAGGACCGACATGTTTCAGAGAGTGCTGTCTGGCCACCCCTTCCTGCAACAGTTTAAACCAGTCCTATTAGAGGCATGCCATGACTGCGCCAAACCAGTGTGACTGCAGCCTGTGTCTCTTTCTTTCTTGCTTCCTGTGTTTCCTTTTTTGAACATCTTATCCCTCAAATTCCTGTTTCTTAGCCCACTGGACACTTTGTCACCTTCCTTAAGAGTACCTTGCCTCTGGACTCTCTGTTATTTTACTTTCCTGACAGGTTTCTAGACATAAAACACCTGAGCTACTTGTACATTTGTTCCTGCGCTTCTACTGCAGGACTGGTTTTCTCCTCAGCCCTGCTTTAATGATGTGCAAATCAGATTTAGAAATATTTGGAATTCACCAAATATTTCCAAATTCAAAATTTTATAATTCCAGATATTCAGGAATAATTTTGAATATCTGGGATCCCATTGGAAACAGGCTGAGCTGCCTGGAAAACGAAACTATAGCATATCCCCCAGACAGCATATCCCCCAGGTAGTGAAATTCATGTCTGCTGATTGGGTTTTCTGTGGTTTTACCATGAGAGGTGGGATCAGGAGGAGACCAAAGCCTAGAAGTGATGTCTGTCTGCTCTTATGGAATCTCAAAGCAGGGTCAGACATCAGAAAGCACTTCTATTTTGTTCCTTTCCAGATCCAAAGCTGGTATAACTGCTTTTATAATCCCACTACTGTGTCCCAATATTATTGGCGTGGTTGCCTGCTTCTCCCACCATCTGGCCTCTGCTCCACACATCCTGCCAGTTCTGCTCTGCAAATAGGCCTGTCTCCCAGCACCAGCTGGCCTCTGCTCCACTGTGCCCTGCTCAGTACTGCCCTGGTGACCCTGGCAGTGTTCAGGGTTTTGATTGCCCGGACTGCAGTCATTGCTTGATGCTGAGGCCTCGTTGCCTGGAAAGTGTGGTTGTAGCTGTGCACTTGCTGAATCTTTTTGGTTATTTGCCACTGGTACTAGGAAAGGGGGACTTTTAAAAAAAACAACAGTTTGCTATGGTTTTTGCCTTGGAAGGTAGATTTCTTGTATTGACTTTAAGGGAATTCCAGAGAGTCAGAAATTACACATTTTAAAAATTCTGAATCCAAAGGGTTCAAATGTTGTGCTGGTGCCCATCCCTATTAAACTCCCAACACAGTAAAATAACTTTTGTGAATACTAATCTATTGTTCTCAGTGTGATTCCTTCAATAGTTAAAATATGGCATTATGACCACCCAGCCAGTCGTCACCTGAAACTTCAACCCTAAATGCATTACAAGGTAGACTTGTTTAAAATATATATTGGCTGAAGGAACAGATTCCTGTGAGGCATTATTAGGCAAAATTTAAATTAATGATAATCAAAATTCATTTGGTTGCTCTTGCAGGTATGGTTTAAAGTAGTTCTCATCATTCTTGGCTGGGCAAACCAATCTCATGCTTTCAATTATCACTGAGCCTGTGTTTCCTCTCGAGCCAATAGGTTGTAATGATAAATTCTCTAGCGCCTTGGAATTATATTTTACTAGCCATTACGTAGTGTTTAAAGGTAAGCTTGGACACATTTCAAGAAAATAGAGCAAGCTTGTATATTATCCACGGGTGTTCTTTCTGAAAGGAGTTTGCCAAGCATCTCTTCAAATATATATAGCGCATGATAAATAGGCAATGGGACTCTTACTTGGTAAACCAAATTTTGATGGATGGTCCTTACAAATGAACTGGCTATTCATGCTGATTGGATCGCGTGGGGTAATTCTTAACACTTGCATGGCAGACTTCACTAAGAAATCCTGCTTGGAACTAGACACATATATGCTATTTCAGGGCAGTGTAGCTTATTGCTCACCAGAGATGTGATAGGTACATAGGCAAAATAAGACCTCCATTCTTCCAACACTGAATTATTCCCTTGTTTCATATTTGTTTCTGTACTGAACTTTCCTTCCACAATGGTCTCCAGGGTGCCCTATAGGTAGAGCGCCTAATAGCGAACACACATGTTCTGCTTAGTTTACTAATAATTTACTGCAATTTGTAGCATTTTAGTGTAATAAATTTAAAAAACACTGTTGACACAAGTTGTTATCATGTAAATGGCTGCATTTTGATAAATGAACACAGAATGTTCCTTTTAAAATTAGGTTTGCTTTAGAGCATATGTTTCTGATTGCCCATACATTTCCATTTCCCCCTCAGCATTAGTGAAAACTTCTGTTAACAACAGGATAAATCAGGCAGGGAAATTTTATTTAATAATTTGAAAGGTTTTTCATTCTTTACTGATTTTCAAGTTGGTAAAATTCATACTGGACTAGGCAACTCTTGTTAGGAAGAAGATAATACAGTGCTTGGAGCATGAATTCCTTGGAGCAAGAATTCATCAGCTAAGAGTCACACATTCACAGAAGGATGTGGCTCAACTTAGTTTTTGATTAAACATGTCATGATTCAATAAGACTCTTAGCAAACTGGTGTTTTACAATTCTCAAGTGTCCACCTATAGTACCTTTGTCGTGTCACTTTGCAAACAGGAGTGCTGGTCATCCTAAGGCATACATTGCAGCCTAAGGCTTAGGTAGAATAATGCACTCCATTTGATCCTGTCCAGCATGTTAAAGTAGAATGATGCAGTTTATTAGGCAACTGCTGATTCCTGGAAACCCTAACTCTAATTCTTTTAATAAAACATGAAATTTAGCCAAATAAAATTGACATGGAGCATAGCAATACATGGCTTAAAATCCTAGAGTCTGGTTAAATGGCAAATTTCAAGGAAATGCAGCCGATGTTGTGCCCCCCCACACACACCCATGTCCCTGCCTCCAATCCTCCTGCTTGTTGTCAGGCTCAGTCAGGCAACCCAATGGCATCCCCATGACTGTGGTGTATTTTGTCTACGATGGCCCTCCACTCCTCTTTGAGGATTTTAAAGACAAGAAGCAGGCTGAGATTTTTTGGAGGGTGGGGTGGGGAAAGGTCTTTCTTCCATTTTCTTCCATGGGCTTTTTCAATGGATCCAAGACTTTTATAGTACATACAATTTTTTAAAGAAGCTACATACTTTTAAATACTTTAATTTTATAAAATTAATGTACTATCCTGTGGCCAGCATTTCCCAATAGTTCATAATATTCTTTAAATACTTAGAATACATTTTATTTATTTACTTCATTTACGGCCTGCTTTTCTCACAGAAACTGAACTCAGATTATAAAATTATCATAAGAACATCATATGAACATTTCTTACATTGAGTCAGAACGTCATCTGGCGTTTGAGCAGTTATTGTTTATCACAGTGCCTTTTCCCTTGTTGGCAGGAGTGGGGAGGTTTTAGCTGTGCAGCACATAACATATATGACAATTTATAAATCAATTTTTGACATATTGACTACAATAGCATTTATTGATGGAAATGCTTTGAACCAAGTAGTCCCAGCATCATTAATAAAGTGACAACTGTACAGATGACAATCAAAACAGTCTTATAATCCAGAGTAAGCACATAATTCTGGTACCTGATGAATTATTTGCTGCTGTAATTTGGTTATTAATAATTAACTAAATGAATGTTTTGCTATATTCTGCTGTATTTATTGATTAAGAATTGAAAGCAATGGTAGAGGGAAAGTGTTATCCCTGAGGGGTTAAAGCAGTTGCTAAGTGGATTGTCTAGTGGCTTTTCTGTTTCCCAGGCTGTAACTCATGTCAAACCTAACTAGAAAGGTTTGGAAGACTAAGCTTTGTAAAGATCCATTGGAACATAAGCTTTACAACACAGTCTGTGGATACATGTCCAATTGATATTAGGCAGTAGAAGGGCTGTTAAGTTGCTGGATTCTGTATGCTATGCCTGAATTATGTAACACTGGTGATGATTAAAATGAGATAATTTTCTGGGGGCTATTTAGTTATAGGAGAGCTAGCTAGTGCTCCTTCAGTCCCTACATTTGGAAAACCATACAGGCTCCTTTGCCCACGTGGAGGCACTGGACCACTGTAAAGTGTTAAAAAACTGACAGTGAATTTGAACTTTCAGCTCATGATAAGCAAGAATGAATTTGTAATTTCAACAATTGGATCCGTTAAACATCTTCATTATGCTGTATGCTAATTTACTGCTAACACTCTACCTATATGTATGAACTGGTATTTTACATTTCATTGCATCTGAAGAAGTGTGCATGCACATGAAAGCTAATACTTTGAATAAAACTTTGTTGGTCTTAAAGGTGCCACTGTGGACTCAAACTTTGTTCTGCTGTTTCAGACCAACACATGCCTGTCCCCTGTTGTTTGAGTAGTGATTGATTGTCACAGTTGCTGCAATGCCCTGTATGTGGGACTGCCCTTGAAAAGTGCTTGGAAACTGCTGCTTGTTTACACCCATCTTTTCTAAAGGGTATTTTTAGAATGAGTTAATATACTTTGACTATATCCACCAATCATTGTTAGCAGGTTACTCATAATGATCTGGTCTTCATTTTTCACTTTTCTATTACTATTCCTTTCCTAGTTATTTGTATTGATTTGTTATTTGTATTTATATATCTATAGGTAAACCTGTCATGATTGTTACTGAGTATATGGAAAATGGCTCTTTGGATAGTTTCCTAAGGGTAAGTACCATGTGGAGTTCATGAAAATGACCTGGCTTCTTTCATGCGAGTTTCAGGATGCTTGCTTTGTTGCACCATTTCCCAAAAATCTTGTGCTATACTTGATAGATCTACAATAGAACTCTTGCTGAAGATGCAAATGATTTTTGCAAGTTGGCTAAAGTCAACAGTAGCAGCAGAAGGCAGATTCCAAGCTGTATTCTCCTCCCCTTCCTGACAAGCTTGTGTTTTACCCAGGCAGGGATTTTTAAGCATATGAAGAGCAGTATCACTGTACTTCCTAAAGCACAACTATCCCCTTCTTTCCTCTATTATTTGTGGATTGGTTATCAATTACACTATTGCCAGTAAAAAGAGAGCTGAGTGAGTTATGCTGCATCTTCTAAGATGCTTTTGAGGTGGGCTTAGAATGATAGTGTGATGGTAAACTGTAAGTACGAGACAAGAGTTTAACTGGCATGCTGAAAGAATGATGCTGACCATCAAGAGCTAAAATACGCTGTCAGTCAAATTCAGTCCATTCTTTTTCCATTTCTGAAATGCTTACTTACTATGCTTTTAAAATATTTACTCTATATAGTTTAGAATATTTTTCATTACCCTGTTCCTTTCTTCAAATTATTTACTGGGGGTTTGCTTTTTAAGAAGTAAACTAGTTCCTTGCTCTGGTACACAGATTCACTAAAATGCATACACTAAGAAATATCATTTTAATCAGCAATTAGGATTGTAAATGAAAACATTTCCATGAAGAGAAGGATTCTTGCCTCTGGCGCATAACTTTCTTGCTTTCCCACTCTCACGATTTGGGCTGCAATGGAAGGGGGAGGTAAGAAACTCATGTTCTAAAGGCAAGAATCCTGCCCACGGACATGTGGATCGAAACCAATGTAATTTTTGTTTGTATACAACATAATTCTAAAAAAGATCCCCCTGTTTCTCTCACATTATATGCAGCTGTCAACTGCATATAATAAAAATATTCTGTTAATGGCAGTTGATTGGATAGAGATTCAGTGTGGTATACTGGTTAGAATGCCAAACAAGTATTAAAGAATCCCAGATTCAACTTCTCATTCAGTCATAAAACTCAAGCTTCAGCCAGTTGTGAAGATAAAATGGTGGATGGAAGCCATGTATATCACCCTTACCTCCTTGGCAGAAGGATGGGATAAAAATATAGCAGGTAGACTCAACAACTCTCCCACACCCTCACTTCCATGTACTCATTTTTGAGCAGAAAGGTGGACTCTGTTTGTATTGTCAGGTCGCAAATTATTCAGGCTTACTTAAAGACCCAATTTGGTATCAAGATGTGAAGGAGTGTCACACCCGTGTTCCTAGGAACAATAGAAGGATGTGCAATAAGAAGAGTGCTGATGTTGTATTTTGCCAAAATAAAAGCATGAACATTTACTACTAACAGAGACAACTAATATTGAGTCACAGACCGTGTTTATGCAGCATGTGCCGATTTGAATCTATCAGATATGCAATCTTAGTTTATCAGCCTTCCTGTTTGCATTTAATTTGAGGAGGGGAGGGGGATGATCAGGGAGACTGTGGATAAGGTTTTCATCTACTTTCAATGACATAACAAAAAATATCTCCAGAAAGTGAAGCATGCTGTTCAGACTTGTGTGAAAACAATGTGTTTTGAAGTATAATAATACCTAATGCGACAGATGAGGTTATCCATCTGTTATCTGGCAGTCCTTGGGACAGCTTAAGTCAGTTTAATAGCTCTCTATTAAGTGGTCAGCTTTGGCAAAACACTTTCACAAAGCAAGTTCTTAATGACTTTCAGAGAATGTCTGTGGATATCACTTTTGTATACATTGTAGAGTAGAATGATCTGACATAATTTTTTTCCAGAAACATGATGCTCAGTTCACAGTCATACAACTTGTGGGAATGCTTCGAGGAATTGCATCTGGCATGAAGTATTTGTCAGATATGGGTTATGTACATCGTGACCTGGCTGCCCGCAACATTCTCATCAATAGTAACCTGGTATGCAAGGTCTCTGATTTTGGCCTCTCCCGTGTTCTGGAAGATGACCCAGAAGCTGCTTACACAACACAGGTGAGTTCAGTAATCTCTACATTATCACTGTGAAGCCAGAGATGTCTGACAGCGAAATATAACATGAGACCCCCTCAACTAGACAGGGCCACGAAGGAGGAGGAGGACAAAATTCCTGGGGTCCAATTCAGCTGGAGGGCCCCAGAAGCTAGTCGCATGCTGCATTAGGGTTGCCAGGTCTGAGTTGGAAAATACCTGGAGACTTTGGAGGGTGGGGTTTGGGGAGGGACCTCAGCATGGTACAGTGCCATAGAGTCCACCCTTCAAAGCAGCCATGTTCTCCAGGGGAGCTGATCTCTGTCAGCTGGAGATCAGTTGTAAAAGGGGAAGATCTCTAGGCCCCACCTGGAGGCTGGCAACCCTATGCTGCATTCAGAATACATCTCCATTTATTTTGCTTCTAATGCAGTTCTATACTGCAGCCACTAGGGGCACAGGGAAGGCAAAAAACAGCAAATGGCAGTTGCGCTGATTTCTGTTCAACCTGCCTTACTACAAGGAGTCAAACACTTCATATTCTGCTAAATCTATCAGCCAAGCCAACACTGAAGCAAGGCATGCCTGCTACAGTCATTGTCAGGCTGCAGCCCATAACAAGATCGTTTTTTTCCTCTTCCTTTCCTTCCTCCCAGCTCCATAGTTTTTTTCTGCTTAACCAAATCTTCCCTGTTAGTGCATTGTAGAAAATAAAACAACCTTTCACCTTTTCTTAATTTCTCTTCCTCTTTTCCACACCTTTCTCTTCCTCAAATATCAGTCCCCATAACCCCAGTACTACTACATAATCAATTTGCCCCTGCTTTTGTGCTATATAAAGGTAAAAGGGTAAACAACTTTCTTACTGATTTACTTACTAAAGATTTAATGTGATATGAAGTTTTTGTGAACTATAACCACTTCAGCAGATGTAAGAAATGTGTCCTATATTGGTATATGTACATGTACAGATATAAAATTACAAAATTAGATGCATTATTTTGATCAAGGTCATCAGGGTAGGTGATCCATGGTGGCTCTCAGCAGCCCTGCAACTAGATTGTTTATGCTGTTTCTTAACAGAACAGGAAAACAGTCTTGACCAACCATTTTTATGTCTGCATCTGATCATTATAACTATACAACAGAACTATAATACCATGTTGAGTATTTAATATTAATACCTATTAGTCACCTCAGTGTCCTTTATCCATGCAGTTACAATAGACAAATTTAGCACACAGTTGTAACCTTTTTGTATCTTCATCATATTAGAAACCATTCCACGATAGTTTAGAATTTTTTTAAATTGTAAAAATGATTTTGGAGCCTGGTTCCACTTCCTTAGCGCTAGCAAAATGGAAAGGTGTAAATGACAAACATTTCAAAAGACACTCAAAGCAGAAAAATAAACTCTTTGTTGTGTCTATCATAATACCTGTTATTTTTTACAATTGTAGAAAGAACATTCCCAAAAGCTGATAGGGGAACTGTTCCCCCCCCCAGTGTAATCAAGAACCATCACAGATCCAAAGAACAAACTTTTTTTTTTTACCAGAGCTCTTACATGATCACTGGGTGCTTTGTATCGAACAATGACATTAGTAACCTCAGACAATTACATGGATTATTTCAGTGAGCACAAATTCTGCCCTCAGAACTGCAGTATCTTTTTTCTGTGCCAAGGGTGTCTCGACAAGGATAGCCTAGGCTAGACTGATCTCATCAGATCTTGAAAGCTAAGTAGGGTCAGCCCTAGCTAGTACTTGGATGGGAGACCACCAAGAAAGACAAAAGTTGCTACCCTTATTAGACAGGCAATAGCGAATGACATTTAATGGTCTCTTTCCTTGAAAATCCTATGGACTCACCATAAGTCAGCTGCAACTTGACAGGAGGAAAAAAGTGCTATGAGTATTGTACAGAATTAAACTCAAGTCATTTCCATTCGGTTTAAAAAATATTAAAGTCACAGTGTTTTCACCATGCATTGGATTTTATACAGAAGACTCCTGTTCAAACTATTGACCAGCATGTAGCAAAAACAGGTGTGTGTCGTCAATCCCTGATAGTGTACCCAATGCATTATATGTAGGAAAACTAATGGAGCAATCCTGAGTTTCATCTTTTAATTCTTAGGACTAGCATAGTATTATAACAGGGCCTTACTTTTGGACATCCCAGTACATACTTGCTTAGTCCCAGTGAGTTCAGTGGAACATATTTCCAGTTAAATGTGCATAGAACTGCAGCCATTGTGAAATTCAGGTTTCAAAGGATGGTAGGATTTGGATCCAAACTAGCATTTCTTTGGGTGCAATGACTTCCACCTGTGCAGTGTGATCCCCCCCCATGGCAGACCAAATGCCCCCCAAAATGGTATTCCTGCCAGTTTGGAACTTTATAAGCTTTTGTTCGGCTTATCACTTACTGTAACGATAGGTTTTTATGACATGTATGAAACTGTTGTTATGCTGTTTTGCTCTTTTTAATAAAAATTATTTTAAAAAATATCTAGTAACTTATTTTGAAGCTAATGAGAGCTAATAGATTATGATACATTATATTCTTTGCTTGTAGGGGGGAAAGATTCCAATCCGATGGACATCGCCAGAGGCCATTGCTTACCGCAAATTTACATCAGCCAGTGACGCATGGAGCTATGGGATTGTTCTCTGGGAGGTGATGTCCTACGGAGAGAGACCATATTGGGAGATGTCCAATCAAGATGTGAGTGCATTATAGGTTGAATGATGTTTGCAGGTGGTGAGAAGAAGTGAAGTTAAACAGCAGAAATTGATATTGATTTTTTGTTTCCTACATTATTTGTAACCAAACAATGTTTGAAATCTTTCTCTTTCTTGAAAAGACATGTGCCGCTCAATACAGATTATTTTTTTTAATGAACTATTGAACTCCAGCTATTGAACATCTACTATTCTATGGAGCAGGACAGAACTGATGATTCAGATAACCTAGAGAAAAGATCACGATGTTCTTCATTCAACAGAAATTTAGAGAACTTTTGTAGAACCTTATTAAATGTCTCCTGAGTCCTTTTGGCTGTATCTCCATTAAGCCCTTCTATGAATATACAAGCTAATTAGAGCTGAACTGCATGAAAAGAGAAAGAAAGCATTTGTGTTTAAGATTTTAATGAGGCAAATGCCTTCGGATGTGGCAAACAGATAACATGGAGTGACTGTTTGATTTGTTTGGAAGTCTTTTCCATAGAGGTTCATTTAGATAGCTTTAAATTTATTGCTGTGTAACTTTAGTCGGTTAAACAGATCTGCTATCTATTTTATGCTTGTTAGGAATATAGCATTCCCAAAGTTCCTCTTTCAAATATACCATATTATTCATTTGGTTTGCTTAGCCTAAATTTATTCCATGCGAGCCAATTACAAGCTACAGATTCTGACGAGATTTAAAGCCCTAAGTGTGTATTGCAAATGAAGAAATGTTGTATATCACATTGTAAGCCCTAAATAAAGAAACAGTAACAGCAAATGAAACCAGACACTTCTTATTAGTAAATGGGAATATAATTGCAGAATATATGATCTCATGTGCCAGGACGACTGGCTGTGTAGTATAACACATTATGCACTGTTTGTAATTGTTTGAATCAATGTCTTTAGTTCCTCAGTGCAGAAGTACTAAATGTTCCCCAATTCCTTCTCTATTGTTGTGAGACGGCAGATCACCCCATGCATCTTTTGTCTCTCCCTCTTCCATGCTGTAGTTTTATGTCTGCACGATGCTAGCAGTAGACATGGTTGGTTCCAACATGGTGGAGGGGGAACCCTGGCTCCCAGTCTGCTCAATAAGAGATCAGTGACTCAGTGGTTAAGAAATCAGTAGATCAAGAAATTTACCCTGCTGAATTTGAACGTTAATTTCATAATAATTGTCTTTCCCAATGTAAAATGTAGGGGAATGTTCTGTGATCAGCCAGCGGGCAATTTAAAACTATCTGATGAGTTTCAGTCATTTTTCCTAGGAGGTTTATAGGCAGCACAATGTGTGGTTGTGTTTTATACACATACAAACCACACAACCACAGCCTCTTAAGCCAAAACCCAGTATCACTGAAAATATGCTTGTTTCTGCAATCACTGGTAATCCCGTCTTATTGCTACTCCATCTACTTGTTAGGAATTTAATGCATCTGTCAACAATCACATAACTCAGGGAATATGCAACTCTAACTCTGTTAGCTGAATGAAATGGAAATATGGGCATTTGGGTGTACTTGAATATTTCTTGAATTATACGGTTAGCAACTGCAATATCTTCTGCACATGCCATTTTAAATTTGTGCTTCAAAAACTGCTGCCATACTACATAAAGAAGGGGGGGGAATAGTTAAGCCTGCTAAGCTGCTTGCTACCAATGGACACTCACAGTAGAATACTGCCCTCTTTCTGTAAACCAGATAACATAAAGAGTTGCATTGATGCTGAAGTCTTGCACGTTTGTGTGTTAATGGAAATAACTTGAAAAATTAGATCAGTGAAAATCCATGTAAGGCTTCATGGTGGAAGTAAGTGTGCAATGATCCAGATGTTTTCTTTTTGGAGCAATTAAGCTTGTATTTTAAGAAATATATTAAATTGACACCTATTTTGTCTCATCACATCTGAGTATCAGACAAAATATACTTCTTTTCTTCAGACACTTTCTGCCTGAAATCTCCCCTTTGTAAGGTATCTGACTTAGTAGATAAAACGGAAGAGTTAAATTTCAGAAAAATTAAGGGATAATTACATCTGCTAAAATATTTAAGGGTCCATGATTATGTAATAGATGTTTGGAGAACCAACAGGTAAGAAGTTCGCGCAATGTCCTTCAAATTTCTCTAATCTCTCTTGTGCAGGTAATTAAAGCTGTGGAGGAAGGGTACCGCTTGCCACCACCCATGGACTGCCCAGCTGCCTTGTATCAATTGATGCTGGACTGCTGGCAAAAAGACAGAAACAACAGACCAAAATTTGAGCAGATTGTCAGCATCCTGGACAAGCTGATCCGTAATCCCAGCAGTCTAAAAATAATCACCAGTGCGGCTGCAAGGTGACACAACGCATTCTACATCCCTACACACTGAAAATGAATGTGTTTGCTTTTTCTGCCTCTAGTACTTAAAATATGCTTTCTTTGTCCACCCACTTTCTTGTACATTTTGGCTTAACAAAAAGGTCTCTACTGAGAAACAAATAGAATATTTGGGGTAGTTCAAACTGGCAAAAATAGGTAAATGAGTACCTACCTTCAGAGTCATGTCAGTTAGGAACTCACAGGCTAGTAAATACCCATGAAAGATGTGAGTGTTCAACATTTCAGGAATGCTTTGGTTCAGGAAGTGAGTGTCATCACAGCAGAATATATTCTGCAGTTCTATGGTCATGCTGAATAAGTAACGAGACTTCTCAGAGGCATTTGATCCTATAGACTGAAAGCTGCAGAATACCCAGCAGCAGATATCACGTCTTCAGTTGCCTCTGCTTTCAAGTTTTCCCCTGTAGAACAGGAAGTTAAACATCACAGTCAGCCATGGTTTTAAAAAAAGCCAATTCTTGCCAGTATTTCTGTATGTTTAATCCGTTTTGCAGCTCAGTGTCTGTCACTAGAGAGCAGATGCTTCCTCCACCCCACCACACCCTACATCCTATTAGCAGAGGTCGATTCGGGGGGGATCGTGGTCCCCCCGGGTGAGGTGCGGGGGGGGCGAGGCACACAACGAAGCCCCGCCCCCTGCTTCCAGCCCCGGCGGCTCACCCCTGGCTCGGCTCAGCGCGCTGGTGCCCCCAGGGCAGAGGCATCCAAGCGGGGCCCCTCGGATGCCCAGCCTGGGGCGGGGTGGCCACGCGGAGCGTGGAGGCAGGCAGGGCGCTCATTGGCTGCCCGCGAGCCGTAGCCTGGCTGACATCACCCCCTCCGCCGCCGCCTCCCCCCCGCCAGCGCCCCCTCCTCAGAGGTGCCGCCCACCACTGCGCCTGTGCGCCCCGCTGGCTCCACGGGAATTGTAGGCCACCGCCGTCCCCTCGACCGGGCACACACACCGCCCTGGGGGTTGGCTCTGCCGGCTGGGCACCGCGGAGGGAGGCTGGGCTGGTCCCCCCGGCCCGAGGCGCCTTCCGCAGAGCAACAGCTGGAACTTCGCCGCTGTTGCGACCCAGGCGGGGCTTCTGCAACGGGCTCGCCTGCCTGGTTCCCTTAAGGCTGCCATCCTGACACAGGAGCTTGAACCGATGATCAAGCAACAGAGATCGGCGTCTTGGTTTGATTTCTGATTCGCTGTCGAGTCGCGCCTGACTCGAGTCGTTTTAAGGGAAGAGGCAGCCGGAGGTGGTTTTCCAGTGCCTGCCTCTGTGTAGTGACCCTGGGCTTCCTTGGGGGTCTCCCACCATCTAAACCCTGCTTAGTTTCCAAGAACTAATGGAGCTTCGGCCAAGTCAGGGCATAGGTATGCATAGGAGGAGAAAAGGGAAAGGGGAAAGGAAATACTTGTTTGAGAGCATCTCTGCTCGCTGGCAAAGCTGCTGGTAGAGAGGCATTTCCTGTCTTTCGAAGGCTGGGGAGAATGCTTCTTCTAACTCCATCTCAGTCTCGCCTACACTGAAAGGAATGCTTCCAACACCATCCCAGAAGTGGCATTCCTTGTCTCTCTTATACTGGAAGGAATGCTTCTAGCATCATCCCAGAAGGGGCATTCCTTGTCTGTCTTGTACTGGAAGGAATGCTTCTACCACCACCTCAGAAAAGTCATTATTTCTCTTATACTAGAATTGATGCTTCTGGTGCCACCCCAGAAGAGGCATTCCTTGTCTCTCTTATACTGGAGGAAATGCTTCCAACACCATCCCAGAAGAGGCATTCTTTATCTCTTTCAGGGCCAGGGGGCCTTCGCGGGGCTTCCTCGCACTAACCTTTAAGACTGAGTGGTGGGTGTGGCCTTATGACACACTTTCGGTGATGGCAGGGGGTGTGGCCTTATGACACACTTCCGGTGATGTCAGGGGGTGTGGCCTTATGACACATTTCCAGTGATTTCAGGGGGTGTGGCATATGCTAATGAGTTATGCTAATGAGTTCCCCTAGCTCTTTTTCTACGAAACGACCCCTGCCTATTAGCAAATTATTTCCCCATCTCTTTTAACTACAAGGAATTACTCTGAAGGAATTTTCTCATTGTCTCATTGCGGAGGTGATAATTGGTATTCCTCCTACAACCATTAGCCTTCATTTCTATGAACAGCAAAGACCTCAAAATAGCATATCTTTCCTGGCTAGGTATTCACAAGCTTTCCCTTGTACAGCTTCTCTGAGGACATGTCAGCTGTGCATTGGCTTGAATCAGTAGAGTGGTTGACATCTTTGGAATTCCCACCATTGAAAGGCTTCTCTTAATACATTGTGGCACTCTCACAATGAGATTTCCTAACTCAATTTCAGTAAGAGTCGCTAGTTATATATAGAACAATGTTGGAGTCCACTGGCACCTTCAAGACCAACGAAGTTTAATTCTGGATATAAGCTTTGCATGCACACGAAGGCTTCTACCCAGAATTAAACTTTGTTGGTCTTAAAGGTGCCACTGGGCTCAGACTTTGTTCTATTACTTCTGACCAACAAGACTACACACCTGAATCTAGCTATATATCATCTTCCTTTACTGACTCCTCTGTTCTCCTCTGTTCTCCCCTGGAGAACTTATGCTACAACATTGCAGCTGAGTCCACTGCTTCCCTCATGCTCCTCCCTTCCCTTCTGAAAGAACTCAAATGTGAACTTGTGGATCTCCTGACAAAAATATGTAATCTTTCCTTAAAATCTGCCTCCATTCCTGAGGACTGGAAGGTAGCTAATGTCACTCCCATCTTTAAAAAGGGTTCCAGGGGAGATACGGGAAATTACAGGCCAGTCAATCTCACGTAGATACCGGGTAAATTGGTGGAAACCATTATTAAGGAAAGAATTAGTAGGCACATAGATGAACAAAACCTATTGAGGCAGACTCAGCATGGGTTCTGTAAGGGAAGATCTTGTCTCACTAACCTGTTAATGTTCTTTGAGGGGGTGAACAAACATGTGGACAAGGGGGATCCAATAGATGTTGTTTACCTTGACTTCCAGAAAGCTTTTGATAAAGTTCCTCATCAAAAGCTCCTAAGTAAGCTCAAAAATCATGGGATAAAAGGACAAGTCCTTTTATGGATCAAAAACTGGCTAATTAATAGAAAACAGAGAGTGAGTATAAATGGGCAATTTTCTCAGTGGAGGGTGGTAAGCAGTGGGGTACCGCAGGGATCAGTACTTGATCCACTGCTTTTTAACTTGTTCATTAATGATTTGGAGTTGGGAGTAAGCAGTGAAGTGGCTAAATTTGTGGATGATACGAAGTTGTTCAGGGTGGTGAAAACCAGTGAGGATTGTGAGGCACTCCAAAGGGATCTGTCAAGGATGGGCAAGTGGGTGTCAACATGGCAATGTGGCCAACTGCAAGGTGATGCACATTGGAGC